ACATTACATTTTCAGTAAACCACCTCGCGACATTGTGAATCTCTTGCGATCAAAATGGATATCGGCAAACGTTCAAGTGGCTGGAGGATCATGAGGGTCCAGGCATTTCCGTATCCATCACTCGGACTCCAGCAAAAAACAAACATAACTCATCAGTAGAGAGATGCCGATGTGCAAAGCCAAGGCTCGTACCATCCCCATAGGCCAGCTACACTAGGTCTGAGCTGCTCGATTGCGCCCACTGAGCTTTCATCGCTTCATCGATGGTTGTTTGCAGCATGCGCGAACAAAAGCCGGGCCCGAGTGGTGCTGGTGGCTCGGCGTTGTTGGCTCGTGGCGAGGGCATGGGGACGAGCAAGCTATGCGTGGGATGAAGACTTGTGCGTGGCGTGCCAGTCACTACCTACGAACAGGAACTTGGCCCACGATTATCCTCCCAGGAGAAGAATATGGACCCTGAAGAGAACCTATACTGTAACAAGTGCGAGGCTTTTGAATCCACCAATAATATGACAACATGAACACAACATGTACAGTAGTTACTTAGACCTCATGAGTCTAGAGTCTTGGGCCTAGACTGCCTGCCCCACCGGCCGCGAGGCGCACGGGCTGGCTGGGCCCATGCGCTCAAGGACGGCCTGGGGCCATGGTGGGGCGGGGCCCAATGTATTCGGCTGTTTCAGAAAGGTGCAGTCAATGGAGAGGACCCCACGGGTCCAACCTCCTTATAGACAGTTTCCAATGTATAGAATGTATACTCAGTCATGTCGCCTCGAGAGGCTTAACCCCCAAAAAACAGGTCTTTTTCCATTCACGGATTCACCAACCAGTACATGACCGGGCAAAGCGGTGGAGCTGGGTTGAGAGATCGTCAACATGCGTCGGACGATGCTTCCGCGTGGCGGAGCCCCTGGGGGCGCGACGCTCCAGTTGGTCCGTCGTGATCCGCTTTCCTTGGGAGATGTGCGCTGAACAAAGGGAGCCACTTCCTGCAACAAATGCATCCTACCTTGCTTCTGAGCGCTTCGCGGCAGATGGAAAGGATGTCTCCTGAGCTCTAACTCACAAGATGTGGGACTGGTGGAACGCCGCCATTTTCAGGGTGCGGAGAATATGTGTAGCTTTAAGTAGGCAACTTCCTTTGACGATCATTCAGGATCACACTGTATATCGTCACTCGGCTGTGCGGCTGTTGGAAGGTCCCCCCGAAATTTCGACGCAGTTCCACCTCCCACACAAAAAGCAGCAGCAGTTCAACACCTCCCAAAACGGTCCCCAAAACCCAAGTCTTTGGGACTTTCAACACCTCCTTCAGCACTCCTCGTGGCCTCTTGCGCCGCCTCCTGCGCCGCAGGAGGAGCGCCGCCGGGCCGAGGAGGCCTCCGCGTCCTTGGCCCGGACGCGGCAGCGGCGGCAAGAGCAGCAGGCTCAGCTGGAAGAGGCGCCAGGGCTTTGGGATCAGCCGTGCCGGGGCGGTGGCTCCTGTCGTTGGGGGAGGAACGGGCGCTCTTCTAAGCCAGTGGTTGCTTGCACCGTGATGTGATTAGACTCCTGGAGAGAGAGAGAGAGAGAGAGCAAGCTTTCCATGGACAAGTGAGTGGTCGACAGAATCCTTGGCTTACTTGCCATGGAAGACAACATGGCCCCACCAAAAAATTACAACCCAACCAGGAGGTTGTAGGTGTTGTGAAAGCTTAATTTCCTTCTCTCCCACCCCTCAGCAAGACGGTCCCAGAAACTCATGTGTGCGACGGACATCATTATTGTGTGCGTAGCCAGAAGCCATGAGGCATGATTTTCGCTTTGGCTGGGGCTCACATGGTTCTCCAAACACAGCGGCAGGATTTCTCAAGACAAAAAGACAAAACCTTTTCTCCAAGGGCCAATGGGAGCAACCGCTCGTGACCAAGTGCTGCTACTATAGCGTTTTGCCGGTGATCTTTAGTTACAAAGTTCGCAGAAAAAACCAACGCTGAGAGGGCTGTATCCCAAGGTCGTGGAGGTGGTGACAACAGTTCTGAATTGAAGTGAACAAACGACCCAAGGCGTTTGTTGCCTTGACAGCTGACAAAGGAGTATCAGCATGGAACTTTCAGGTGTTTCAACACAAGACGTGTTAGCTGTTCACAACACGAAAAACATTCGTTGCTTCTATGTGGATATGCTTGCCAATTCTTCCACAGCTTGCGCGTAGCGAGTGAGGAATCAAAAAGTGAGGAGTCTGAAATATTTAAGCGTGACCAATGAATGGCCTCATGTAGAGGTTTTCACTTGAGCATGCATCAACATGCATCATATTGTTTTGTAATCATCCGATGCACGACATGCTTTCTCTCCCTTTTCTCTCTTAAGACTACTCGGCTTGCTATGGGATCGCTTGGGCCACCCAGACGTCTCCACTTGGACCTCGGCAGGCCTCCCGCCGTGCAGCGGGGCTCCAGCAGGAGCTCACCGAGGCCATGGCAGGCGCGGGAGCAGCGGGCCCAGTGGGGTCTTATTGGGCCACCGTGTGGGAGTAGGAGCCATATGGGCTGCAAGGATTCAAGGTGGGTCTTATTGGAAAAGGGGGCCTGTTGTGCGAAAACATGCGAAGACCATGCTTGGGTATTCTTAGGAATCAGACCCAAGCCAAAGGTTTACAAACAGTCACTTAGCTCCAACAAGGTCCACTCCCGAAAATTAATATTTGCTCTTTCGAGCAAGTTATGGCAATGGTGCGCTACGATTTTTGGTATAATTGTCCTTTACATGGAAACATGTTTGGAGGGAAGCGATGAAGAAGAGGATAGAACATCCATCCATGAACATACTGTGAATGTCGAAAGGCAAATGAGTTGGAGCACGGATTTAGAAAAACAGATGGTGGGAGACGAGCCGTTTGTTGAACAATGTTGCACCATGTCACTGCAGTTAATCTTAGCCTATATGGAAGCAATCGGTGTCACAGACAGAGATCAGTTATATCAGTTGTATATAGGCTCAGGGAGAAACTAGTTTACTGTATATAAGTTGCATGAACAACTTATGCCAGTACTTATGCCATGGTATATAATTTCATGCCTGAAATTGATGCAAGGTGCTCTCCACCAGTCAAGCACTCTCAAGTGTCGTTGTCGTGGCTGTTTCAGCTCGAGCTTCGTTTGCCAAGCGCAGAAATTGGTTCCTAAGGCTTGGCCACTGTGGGAGGAACATGGAGGAACTATAGGGTTCCTTCACAAGTTTCCATTTGATCAAGGATACATCAAGCTGAGTATTTGTTTGATAGACTTCAGAGTCGGCCTTTCAAGTGCGAGAGTGTTGAGGTGTGCGAGACGTCGAGACGCCTGTGACGCTTGTTTCATCTGCTCGGTCTCCACGCGTCCATCGATGTTCAGGTGCGACGGCGTGTTCGACCCAATGGCCCAGCACCTCCGGCACCTCTGGCAGAAGAATGCGCTGGGGGTGGCTGAAGAGCTTGTGTCATGGGGGGCTGAGGCACAAACGATGAACATGAGAACAAGAACTGAATGGTGGAGTAGATGTAGATGTTGTAAAGCTGCTGAGCAAAGGGAAACAGGTGGTTGTTGGGCAGTTCTTTGTCCCAATTCCGGGGGTCCACAATGGATATCGAAAAAAGACACCAAGGACCTGCTTCGAGCGTCAGTTGCCGCGTGTTACCAGCGAAGAATGCGCGATGGGTTTCTCAGATATCCCAACAACCAACTGCTGTACATATATATATATATACTACTTCTAGCCTTCCAAACCGATTAAACATTGGTTGACCAGTTGACCCGGTTTTGCGGGTATATAAACTGTTGGACTCTCCTAGGGTGTCATACGCTTGAAGGGGGCCACTCCCGTCTCCCCCACGGCACGATGAGACACCCACTCGGTGCCACTCCTTGAGGTGACGCCTCCTTTCACTTGATGCGTTGGTTGGCCTTGCTGACTGCATGGCCTTTGGCCGGGGCATCCCAGAATTGGAGTTTGGGGTGGCCAGGTGGCCTTGCTCTGGAGCCTCTGGGCCATTCGTGGGGGGTGTAGGAGCCCTCACATGTCTAGGAACTGGGACGGATAGGAGGAGCAGGCTCCCCTACTGTGGCTGCATCCTGAAGCATTCAGCTTATTTCATTCCTTGCGCCACACCATGGTTCGTTTCTCTCGAAATCAAGACACAGACTGGTGGTGTTGCTAGCCTATTCAAAGCCACGGAGAACAGGCATCTCTTCAGGTAGAAGCCTGGCGTTTGGATATCGCACTCCTTGACTTGACCCTTATTTGAGTTGATGTTGGGGACATCTTGCTGTTTGGTTGGACTTGATGCGGGGTTGGCGGCCAATCTCGCGTGCCAAAAGCCTTCCCATTGGTTGGACCAACAAAGAACACAACTCTAAAACCATTGCAGGGCTGCAAGGGGCTGCAATGGGCGGCTACATATAATATCTACGGGTGTTCCACTGAGGAAGTGCGCAACCGATCCGCACCCAAGTGATGTTCACAGCTCCGCAGATCCGCTGCGTTCCACCCCAATCGACGGGGGGCTCTTCGGCGATTAGACCTCGCCGAGGTCTTGGGGTCCGTGGTGCGTCGAGTGGAGCCCAACGGGGCGGTGAGGCGGGGGAAGTTCTGGACTCCAAGTCGTTAGAGGTCCTGGATGCCAGGGTGACATCTTACTACCCAGGACAAGGTGAACAATTATAGGTGGAGACGACCTGGAAAACTATATAAACCCTTTATTATTGGGGATTGGACAAAGCCCACTCAAGGGGCCTGACAGATGGGCTTTGCTTGGCGGCGTTTGTGGATTTGTGGGAGGTCTTCCTCAGTTGTCCGCATCCTCTTTGAAAGGTCGCCTTGGAACTCGCAACTTCAAAGGAAGGCTGCGCAGCATAGGCAGCCCTGGGCTTGAAGCCTGAACACACCCGCAAAACCATTCCCATTACTTTCTGGTGACTCTTTCACATGCGATGGCTTCTTCAATCGCCGCAGGCCGATGGTGACCTTGGAGGTGAACACCTGCGAGGATCAGAGGCAGCGGGACGGGGAGCGTGGAGATCATGGAGCTGTCGCCTGGAACATCCGCAACGGTGACACCCTCACCACTGGTTTTCAACATGCGTCAATCGTGGTGAGGATCCTATATGTGCCTTCAGTTAATTAGGGGTACTGGGGTACTGTATCATTCATTTGTGGCCGTGGATTTCGATGTAGCTATTTAGGATACCAGGTGAGCCAATGGGTTCGAGACTCTACCAAGAGGTGTTCCTTGATCGAGTTCAGCCTGCAACAAAGCACTATGGTTCCCAGTGAAAACATGAGTTGTCTTCTGAGAACTCTGAGTAGCTGACCTTCAGAAGTGGTTCAGATGACTAGGTCAAGGGCATTCCGACACGGATTTGGACATCGCCTAGCATCCTGGAGGTCTTCGAGCACCTGCCGGTACGAGAAGGATGATGGGGAGAAGCGCATCGCAGTGTATACCTATGCCAACTGCTCAGTTGAGCTCCACAAGAGCCGCCGGAGCGAGAACAAGTTGGAAACCACAACACAACCAAGGACTGAAAGGGAAACAACAACGCCCACCACCAAAAAGAGCAACTAAGTGCCCCAACACCTGCGTCAGCAAAGAGGCGGAAAAAGGTAGCCGGAGCGCTCAAAAATCAGCAGGGTAACCACCCCCAACGACCTACTTCACTGTCCATCTCAATCCTTTCCGAGAATTCCCTTCCCGGGCATCCGGAAGTGTGAACCTTCTTGTTTGCTGAAGTGATGCTGAAGCAGGGGCGTTGCCACTGAACATGCAAGTGTACTGCATTAAAGGCATCCAAATGCTAAGGTCCTTGAGGAGAGCAGGTTGATCCGATCGCTAGTAGAAGAGGATTTTGTGGAACTTGTCAGCTTTGGCACTCCAAGATGTTCTTTTATGTTCTTTTGACGGGCTTTTGTCGTCAGATATGGCCTGTTGCCCTTGTTCATGTTGTGGTGTTCATGTTGTGGAGTCTGGTTTTCTTGGATCTGTATGGATTTGTAGCTTTGGGGCTGTGTTGCTGTATAGGTCCATTGCCCATTGCTAGGTGTTGTTATGCGATTTCCTGCGTGTTGGCCCTTTGCTTGGAAACGCGTGGGGGTTTGTTTTGCTCAACGGCGGCTGCCTCTTCATCCATGGCCTGAACTTCGCGTTGGGGGCTCAGAGTTCCGGGACAGAGTTCCAAGAATTGTGAGCACCTTTGTGTCCATGATCCATACCTGCAGCTCCTTCCTCAAGAGCTCCGGCCTAGTAGACCCATGGGGCAAAGCCCTACCAGAGCCTTTTCAAACATCGACCTCCCATCAGGAATCAATCCGCAGCAAGGTCGGAAATTTGGGTCCATTTGTGCAGTGAATGGCAAGGCAGTAGCAGCACCTTACCATGC